ACTACTACTGCTACTACTACTACTACTACTACTACTACTACTACTACTACTACTACTACTACTACTACTTCTAGTACTAGTACTAGTACTAGTACTAGTACTAGTACTAGTACTAATACTATTATCAAGACGACTAGTAATACGACGATTGCAACAGCAGTACTACGGCTAATAATCATAATGGAAATAATGAGAATAACCGTCATACCACTACTCATGCTAATAAGACTAGCAAGAGCAACACTAGGCACAACAACGCTCATACTACGGATACTAACGACAATAAAATAATACTACGACTTGGTACGAGTAATAAGACTAAGAAGACGCATGCGAACAATACTGACAATACTAATAATATTTCGGGGACTAATATTAATAACCATGTGAATGCGACGAATGATAACATGTTCTTTAATCTAAAAGCGTAGTGCGAATCATACTCATACGAATGGAGGATGATGAGGAGGAGGAGGATGAGGAGGAGGAGGAGGAGGGGGGAAGGAGCATGAGCATCGGGGTGCGACAGGGAGAAGTTATTTACAAGGAAAAGGAATGGAGGAGGAGAAGGAGGAGGAGAAGGAAAAGGAGGAGGAGGAGGAGGAGGAGGAGGAGGAGGAGGAGGAGGAGGAGGAGGAGCAGGAGCAGGAGGCGGAGGAGCAGGAGGAGCAGGAGGAGGAGGAGGAGGAGGAGGAGGAGGAGGAGGAGGAGGAGGAGGAGGAGGAGGAGGAGGACGAGCATGAGCATGAGCATGACCGTGGTGCGCCGATTCCTGACCATTTCCTCGACTTCAGCACTGTAGACCTGCAAACGAAACACATCATGGCCAGAGAGATGGCGCCTGGGTTCTCCGACCAGCAGGACGAGTCGAGGCGACCAGCGTTCTAGCCAGCACCCTCACGGGGCCAGCCTGGGCCAGTGGGCGAGCCCGAGCAGGCGCGCAGCCCTGCGGCTGCCGCCATCGGCACCGCTTCCTGGGCTTACGACCTGCCTGGACGGTGCCGTCCCCGACCCTTCCATTGTGCACGGGGGCGGGGGGAGTGCAATGGCCGGTCCAACGTGGGGAGGCCATGGGGGATCATCAGGGTTTGGGTGGAGCGGCAGCCAGAGCAGCAAGAGGAGAGGACGGGGGCTCAGGGCCAGGAGGAGGAGGAGGAGGAGGAGGAGGAGGAGGAGGAGGAGGGATCACGGCAGGACAGGGGGACAGACAGAGCAGGAGTGTTTGCCTGGCCACGGGCACGCCTCACAGGTGACGCATCTGGAAGTCTTGCCCTCAAGGAGTTCCTGAGCCCGACGGCTTCCGCTGCAGCCAAGCCCACCCGTGGAAACACTGCCGCACCCACGCCGACCCGTGGGAATACGGCCTCGCCTTCTGAATCTGCCTCCTATTTGACCTGACCAGGCAGCCTCTGAGCCTCCCTTGCGAGCACGCCGCTGGGAGCCCCTCCGATAACTTCCTCCCCGCCCATCTCCACGAGAGCCTCGCGGATCGACGTCAAGAGTTGTTGGGCCCCCTTCCGCCTGGGAATCTATCAAGAAATAGATCTTTGCCTGCTCCTGCTGTTTGCCGCTCTTGGTGTGCAGCTGCTTCACCCTGCAGAAACGGATCATGCGGTTCAGCTCGTTGGGGTTCGTGATGGCCAAGATCGTCTTGTCCCAGGCACCCCCAGAACCTGGACAGCCTCGGCGCTCTCACACGACGGCGCGGCGCCTCGCGCTCGGCGCGGGCTCCAACGTCGCGCATCTTGACCGCCCCCCTGCCAGGGTCGCCCGCGTGGCATGTCGGCTTTGTGGTAACCAGCAAGTTTGAACGCCCAAACGCCCATCCCCTGGACGAGCGTTTTTCCTCTTGGGCTCGGAACGACGTTTTGAAGTCTTGAGCAGACGCGTGTAAGATAACCGCCGTCGGATCCAATCAACTTTGCGCGGAGCCAACTTTGGTTGTGGTTTGTGTTTCGGTGTATCCGATTTCCGCCCGCGCAGATCTTATTTCCGATGTAGTGGGTCCAATTTCCGTTCTGTTTTTGCACGCGGATCCGATTTCTAATTACCTATTTTTGCATTCATACTATCAAGCTAAAGCGGGAAACCGGAAGACATCGGATCCGCGGACCCCGCAACCGCAGCCCGCCCGTGGTAAGATTCTATGGGGGAGGGGGCCGGCTATCACCTTCCCAGGAAGGGTCTTGCGCTGTCTCGCGCATTCTCATCAACTTTCCCCACGTGCGGGCCCCACTCAACATGACTCGATGTCTCTTCTCCCAGCTGCTGCACACAGCCCGTCCAAACGCCGTACGTTCGGCGACGCCGATGTTGTCTCACGAACTCCTCATCGCCGTTTTCACCTCAAGAGGATTTTTTGTTTCGCGTAAGTACTGTTTGGCGGCCCTGCGGTTCGATGTCAAGCCGCCCATCTCGTAGGCCTCCTCTTTCGTCCAAGAGTCTACCGATCATGGTTTCGAAGACTGGAAGGAGAGGGGCGCACAGCTTGTTGCGTTCGATCTCTTCGTTCTTCTTCTAGGCGGCCTTCTGCTTCTCTCGCTGCTCCCGAGCCTCCGTGTTGACAATGGCCCCCTCTTCCAACATGCTCTGGGCCACGACCGCGTCGAACATTATAACCTACGTCTCGTATACTGTGCCGATAGGCGCCCTGAGGTCCGCCTCGTCTGTGAGCGAAGGATTGCAAACAAAAACCAAGGATTGCAAAAAACCGAAGGATTGCAATCCTTCGTGTTTTTTTTTTTTTTTTTTTTTTTTTTTTTTTTTTTTTTTTTTTTTTTTTTTTTTTTTTTTTTTTTTTTTTTTTTTTTTTGGTTTTTTTTTGCCACCTTGGCCAGCACCACAACCAGCTCGTCCGGCGACTGCATCTCAGTGCCGCTCGTGGCGACCGCCTCTGCGCCGGCCGCGCGCGCCGCCTCCTCGGGCAGCCTTCGCAGCCAGTGCTCCCTCTCCGTATCTCTGAGACATCCAGCTCGGCCTGGACTTGGACAGAGACATCTGCTGCTGCTGCTGCTGCTGCTGCTGCTGCTGCTAGTTCGTCGACGTAAATGTGCCGCTTCCGCGAGGAGCTGCCCGCCTGTCTCGGAGGGAGGGGTATAGATGGGGAGCGTAGCAGGGGGGTCAGCATTAGATGCAGCAGCACGGCAGGTGCGACGGACACCAGACGTCGCATTTCCATGCGCGGCCCGCCAGCCTTGCTCTTTGCTTCTCAACGACGGTTGGGAGGTATGCTTCCAGTCCTGCTTTGGCATGCCTGAGTCTGGACATCATTCCGAGTTGTTCCGAAGCGGAGGAGGAGGAGGAGGAAGAGGAACAGGAGGAGGAGGAGGCGGTGGAGGAGGAGGAGGAGGAGGAGGAGGAGGAGGACAAGGAAAAGCAGGAGGAGAAGGCGAGTCGGAGTCGGAGTCGGAGTCGGAGTCGGAGGAGGAGGAGGAGGAGGAGGAGGAGGAGGAGGAGGAGGAGGAGGAGGAGGAGGAGGAGGAGGAGGAGGAGGAGTGGATTCGGAGTCGGACTCGGAGTCGGAGTCGGAGTCGGATTTGGATTCGGAGTCGGAGGAGTCGGAGGAGGAGGAGGGGGAGGGGGAGGGGGAGGGGGAAGCGGGAGGAAGCTTGATGAGGAGGAGGCCAAGTTGGAGGAGGAGGAGGAGGAGGAGGAGGAGGAGGAGGAAGAGGAGGAGGAGGAAGAGGAGGGGGAGGAGGAACGGGAGGAGCCAGAGGAGGAGGACGAGGAGGAGGAGGAGGCGGAGGAGGAGGATGAGGAGGACCGTGGGGGAGTGAAGAGGACGAAGCCCCGTCGCCGTCGCCGTGGCCGTCGTGGTCGTCGTCGTGGTGATGATGGTCGACGTCGACCCAAATCCGCCTAACATCGGATCCCAGTTTTCCGAGCCGCCCCCAGCCGCGTGACCGACAATTTCAAGAGACACCAAAAGTCTCCGAAGCGAGGGCGCTGGCGACCCCCTGCATCGCTGTCGTCGCCGCCGTCGTCGTTGTCATCGCCGTCGTCTTCGTCGTCGTGATCGTTCTCGTGGTCGCCGCCGTCGCCGTCGTCACCGGCGTCGCCCACCAAGGTGGCCTCGCTGTCGCCGGCCAGCGGCGGCGGCGACACGCCGCCAGCCGCGGCCCGGGAGGACACGGTGCTTCTCTTCACAGTGGGCGACTGCGAGGAGGTGCGTCGCGCGGGCAGCGCAGGGGGATCGAGGAGGGGGATCGAGGATCGGCGATCCTCGATGCCCCTCCACGGACGGGTCCTGGGAGCAGTGGGTCCTGAATGTTCCCGCCGCTTTCGGGCTCTCGGGGCCCTCCTCCCGGGGGCCCCGTCCCAACCTCACACTGCTTCTGCACCGAGGGTGTGGCACTTTCTCCCTGATGCGCCCACTGCTGCCGCCACTCGCCTTGTCATGCATCTAGCGGCCTTCGGCCCATTTCGCCACCGTGCCCAGGTTGTAAGTCAGAGGCCTCTTGGATGCCAGTGGGGATCTCTTGGGACGCCTGTCGGAAGCCTCTTGGAAGCGGCTTCGGGGTGTCTTTGGCGCCTCTCGGGTACCTCTCAGGGGCCTCTTGGGGTTTGATTTGGGCTTCTTGGGGGCCTCCTATCTCGGGGGTCGTCTTGGGGTGGAGCGCTCGACATGTCAGTTCATGTCCCTCCTCTGCGGCATCTCTTGGGCCCCTCTTGGGGCCCTCTTGGGTCGTCTTGGGGGCCTCTTGGTCCGTCTTGGGGCTCTCTTTGGTCCTCTGGGGGCCCTCTTGGGGGCCTCTTTTCCGTCTTGGGGCGGTCTTGGGGGCCTTTTAGGCTGTCGAGGAGCGTCGAAAGCCCGAAAAGGCAAGAACCCTGACATCCTTCGAACACTGTAGGACAATCAGTGATTCAAGCTTCTGCCTCTTGGGACCCTCTCGGCCTGTCTTGGGGTACTCTTGGCTCCGAAAAAGCCACGCGGGGCCATGCACGGAACCGCCGAAGGCACCCGGCACGCCCCAGAGAGGTCTGGGCCCTGTAAGATTCATTCACGCAGGTCTGAAGAATGGGAACTCCAAGGGACCCGAGGGCACTCCAACTCATGCCTCAGGGCACGGTGGCGGCTATGCATCTGGCTGCTGCGAAGGTTTCTCTGTGCTATTGCTCTGCGTGGTTGAAGTCGATGTGTAATGCCTCGCCCACGACCAGGCGCTTCCAGCAGCAGACTGGTCCTTACCGATTCGGGTGTTCTGGGCAACATGTATATTCTGTCACTGGGGAGGAGGAGGAGGAGGAGGAGGAGGAGGAGGGGGAGGAGGAGGAGGAGGAGGAGGAGGAGGAGGAGGAGGAGGAGGAGGAGGAAGAGGAGGAGGAGGAGGAGGAGGAGGAGGAGGAGGAGGAGGAGGTGTGAATCGCAGTGTATTGCCTGATGCAGTGAGTGAGGGAAGGGGGAGTTTCATGTTGCTTGCCTCTGCCTGCTGCCAGTTTCAAATCAACCTTTGACAGACTGTTCGGAGTCAGGCGCTGGGGGGCATGCGCGAGCGAGAAACAGTCTCACGGTGAGTGTTGGTCGAGTGCGTGCAGGCTCCGGGCGGAGCCGAGGGTGAAGCGAAGGATTTGCGGTTGATTTTGAGCCAGGTCGAGTCTTCCAGCGAGGACGGTGGCCGACGGAGCGGCTCACTGTGGTGGTGCTGGACAGTAGCGACGCTTGTCTGGCAAATGCGACAACGCAGCTTCGGAGTACAAGAGCTGGAGGCGTTGGATCGGGGCCAAGCTAATCGTGGAGGTTCGATGGGGGTTGCCGCCAGAAGCGGTCGGTCCTTTGGTGTGGATTCTCCTAGATGATGAGGCGGAGAAGGCATGCGAACATCTCGAGCTCTCAGACATCGAGCAACCGCACGGCGACGAGGATCTCTTCCGCGCCTTGGACGGTCGCTTCCCGGACAAGGAAGCCAGCGACAGGATTGGATATGCTCTTAAGAGTGTGTTTGGCCTGGCCATCGAGCGCGGCGAGACCTCGTCCGCGTGCGCGGGGAGAGCTCGCGCCGTTTTCGCCAGTGCGAGGAAGGAACGAGTGGAGCTCCCAGCAGTGGCTCAAGGGTTCCTGCTCCTGAAGGGAGCCAGGCTCGGCTTAGAGCGCCAGGTGGTGGTGTTAGCAACGAGTCAACGACAATGGGGCTTCGCGGAGATGTCGGCGGCCATTAGCGCAGCGTGCCCGAAGCAGACGCCGACAACCAGTGTTCACGAGGCGATTCGAGAGAACGACGAATGGCCAAAACCACCGCCACCGTGGACTCTGGCATCAGAGGCAGTAGCAGTTCCAGATGACCTCGAGACGGAGATCAATGAATTACTCGACGACGATGGCCCGGTAGATGAGGAAAACACGATCGACATATTAGCTACGTGGAAGGAAGCGAGGACAGCGATGACGAGGGAGAGGTTGCAGCGTGGTTTGCCATCAAGAGACAACTTCAAGCGACTCACGGACCGAAACACATGCTTCTTCGGTCGTAAGGTTGGCCACTGTAGCCGAAACTGCCCCGAGAGACCCAAGCATAACTCTGACCGGCCCGGCTTCAGTGGCAACCGCGGGCCCAGAGGTTTCAGGGCGCGTCCGCCCCAGCCCAAGCCCGCGAGCCAAAGTGCAGTGCAGTTGGTGATGTTGGATGGGGCCGCTCCGGACACCGACGACGCGGATGGCGCCGCGTGGATGGAAGTGGACATCCCGTCGGCGTCGCGGTCTCAGAACGGCCCGGCATCCGGTTCAAGAGCCACGACGGAAAGGTTCGACGGTCCCAGGAGAGCTTGCTGGATCCAGTGGGCGTTCCCGAGTGCAGGCAAGAAGGTGAATATCCTATGTTGCGTGATCGATGGTGAAGCGGGGCTCCTGATCAGTAAGCCCTTGATGAAGATGCCCCAAGCGACTCTCGACGTTGCAGAGAACAAGCTGCCTTTGCGACGGCTCGGTGTTACTGTGCCTGTTCGAGAGGCGGATGGGGAGTGGACACTTCGAGGTCGACCTCGTGGGCCGCGAGTTCGATGGCCAGCAGACCTCCGACACGGAGATCGACGAGACGATGCCGACGATCGAGAAGCTGGACGGCCATTTTCAGTAGGGCCGGTCTGGCGCCCTGAGGTCACGACGAACGTCGAAGCACGCGGCGTCATAGTCCCTGGGGTGATGGAATTTGTCTCGCCACCTCGCGTGTCCCCCGAGGCGCCGGAGTGCGGCGCGGGGGGCTCGGGGTTGTTTGACAGGGTCAACGGCTGGGGCGCCCGTGCCCCGAAGAACATGCGGGACTTATGTGGGTGGAGGGGGAGGGGGGGTGGGGGGGAAATCAGGCTGCGGGAATCTTTCTGTGTGATCATGGTGCCGCCATTCGAAAAGCTGACGGCTCTCCAGAACCGAACTCCCGGTTGGAAGCGGGTTGATTTGGGGGGATGGCGAAGAAGTGTATTCCGGAAATGTTCGGATTGCAGAGTACCAGATGTCCAGGGGTCGGCGCTTTATCTTCGGGGCATCTCCGACAGTATCCACGTTCGACGTGCGCCTTATGAAGCGACTCCTGCAGGGCCCAGAGGTTTTCGCGGGGACTGCGAGTGGGTGCCAGGTAGGTATCCGACGTCCGATCTCAGGGGTTCGGCTGAGCAAGCGCAGGAAGTTCGTGTCGTCGTCAATTGGGGCGGCACGTGTGCTGATCCTTCCGTGTTGCGGCGGTCGTGCCCATGCGAGGACAGAAGGCGGCAACCGACTGCCCTGAATTCATGTCTCCCGACCCTGGTGCACCCGATCCGTGGCGGGGAGACCGAGTCCCCCTGCGTGGTGCTGCGTATGTATCGCGACAGCTGGGCGCGACCGCGCAGGAGGCCCAAGTGGCTGCATGTAGATGCAGGCAGTGCGAATGCGTCCGTTGTTTTTTTCCAAATGCGATGGGCAGAGATGGGGCGATCATTGCAGATGCTGCAGGGGCGGCAAGCGGGCATGCCAGACAGGCAGAGGTGCACGGGTGGCGGTTTGAACGAATGTTTCATGTGATGCTCGACGAGGTACAGCCTCGGGACGGGGGGGGGTGGCTCGAGTGCGTTGCCCAGCTCCAGGAAGCGAAGAGCTCGATGCAGGAACCAAAGGAATCGATGCTGAATGTGACCGGTGTGCCTTCATGTTAGATAGTTCTTGGTCGAAACCCAGATGTGCCCGAGGATTTGCCTCGGGGGGGTCGGGGCCTGGTCGCCGACAGCTACGGGCTCCGCGACCCTGTGGCGACCGCTGCAGCGTGCATTCGGGCGATGAACCGACGCGTCATTTTGGCGCACAGCGAGAGGGGGGCAGTCCGTGTGGCATTGGATACCCGACCCCGGGTGCATCGAGTTTTTCGGGCCAGGGACATGGTGTCCGCGTGGCGACAGATGAAAGGGGCAACTGCAGGAAAGCCGTCGTCATGCTGATGGGGCCCAGGAATATGCGTGGGTCCGGTCCTTGGAAGCCATTGGGTTGCTCTTCCAGGGAGTCTGGTCAAGGCGTGTTCGGAACGCCCTCGGACAGCCACCGTGCAGGAAAGAGCCGCCGGGCGACTGATCGGATCCGAGCTGCGGTTCAAAGCGGGGTTGATTTTGATAATCTCCAGGGGCGCTATTTCGATGATATTTCCAATGGGCCGAAGCCTCCCGAAGGTCAGGGGAAGGAGGGGGGCGAGCACCCGCCTGGGAACATCCAGGCACCGAGGAGCAGCAGCAGCGACCGCCGACTGACGACAGCGATCCGACCCCCGAAGGGGCGTCCGAATGATGCGACGCGCGATTCGACCTCGACTAACCCAGCAAGTGTTCCGATGCCGGCTCCCAGCTATCCGAGTTCTCGGGTGCCTGTAGGTGGCCCCCGTCGTCCAACCGTATCCAAGCGATGTACCTGTGAGGGCCCAGTTCGCGGTGTTCCAAGTCCAATGCAAGAGGAGGGAACCCCCGGCCCTGAGGCTACCCCTATTGGAAGGACCACCAGGTCTATCGCATGCTAGCAGTGCGGAAATACCGCCGCCCGACTGGCCGAGCACCTTCAGTCGGTCCAAGTCGGCGGCGCGTCGCCCAAAGGCCGCCAGGACTGATGCCTGCGGGGGCACGCCGAATGACCCTGCCGCGGCGGCCCCGCCCGTGGCGGAGCCCGAGCCCGCGGAGGGCTGGGGCAGAGAGCTCTCGAGCTCCGCCCTCTCTTCAGCA